ACACTTAACTAACTTTTAAACAATCCCTGCTATAAGAAAACCCTTGCTTTCTGTTTTTACTGATCCTTTAACAGTGTCTTAAAAAAACACTGTTAATCTGTAAAATATCTGCACTGTTACCATCATCAGCCATACAGTAAAAGGTAACTCAAGTTGTAATATTAAGTTGATGCAGATGGCCCAAATGGTACAAAAACTTGCTTACAAAAACCTAGGATGAAGGAGTTTAAAAATGTTTTAGGTGCATGAACTTCTGGTTTCAGAAAGACTCATACATATTTACAGCACTTGGAATTACATTACATTTGGATTCTAATGTTTCCATTTCCTTAGAGTTTCCTTTATTGTGCCCAAAATATCTGAAAAAGATTAAAAAGCATCATTTGGTTGTAGACAAATGAAGGCATAACTTTGTGTTATAACAACCCAATGTTATAGAAATGAGAAATACCAATGTCATAGGATCCTACAAATTTTACTAGGAATGGATATGGAAAATGAAGATGTAACTGTGGCACAAGATGGAAGACCTACACCTGTTTAATCTAATACGGATAACGGTAGCAGCAAAACTGTAGTAACTTGGATAGCTAATCTCTGCTGAAACCAATAACCAGGCTGTTGAGGTTCCCGGATAAACTAAAATCTGTGCTAATGCAACATCACCACCATTGTTATCTATGATCCAATTCTGAGCATCACATACCCTTTTTTAAGTCCTTCATTTTTTATATTCCCTCATTTATATTTCCCCTTCCCTCCTTTTTTCCCCATTCCTTCCTCTTACAAACACTCTTGAAATTTCTCGCAGTCTCCCAGGAGTATGTGTTCCTGTGGCCGACTGGTACCACCTTACTCAGGGGGCACACGTACCCCCCCAGTGACTAGTCAGTCACCAGGGGGGTCCCCGCCCCCGCAGCCAATCTCATCAATAGGGGGGTCTCCCGCAGTCAATTGCAAAGTGGCTGTAATGCTCCCACTCCCCAGCCGGCACTTGTAGGGGGGGCACCAGTGCTCCCGCCTGCCCCCCCGCCTGTCACCTAAATGGCAAGCGCAGCCTGTCAGGGGCTGCACTGGTGCTCCCAGAGGGTGCACATGCACCCCCTGTGCACCCCCTATGCGCCACCACTGTGTGTTCCCCACTTTCAGATCACCCATCCCACTTCTAGACACTGATCCCCAACCACCTATGGCCCCATCCCATCCACCCAGCTAAGAGCACCTTGCCTGTGGGGGGCCACTTGGGGAGTTTTGGTGCACTGCTGCAGGGGTGTATGAGGAGAGATAAGAGGGTGTTGTCCCAGTGCGGTGGGGGCAAGGGGGTTGCTCACCTGGCCCACAATAGCTCACCAAAATTCTCTAACTTGCCCTTCAGCCCAAATAATTGCCCAAATGCTGACCAAGATGTATGGGGTTATAGTGGGCATTATCAACCAGTTACATCTTCTTGATCCTATACAACAGAGGGATCGAAACATTTTGGCAAGCATGCCACAAATTCACGCCCCCTCTCCTCGCAGAGCCAGGAACCCCACTTAAGGCACTTAAGGGTTTGATGCCACTCTCTTACCTCATCTGCTACTCTGCTTTCTACACCCTGCCCAAACAGCTCTTCTCTTTTCTGCTCCCCACCCTGTCTTCCCTGCCTGATCAGCTGCTCAGCTTTCTGCTCCACACTATGTGCTCCCTGCCCAATTGCTGCTCTGCTTTCTGCTTGTGGCACAAATTGGCCAACCCTGCTGTAAAAGATGGGTCATAGGGGGTCAAGAGTAAAACATAAATAGATAAGTAACAGAAATCCTATGAAGTTTCAAAGTAACTTAGGCACTTTAAAAAGTATCCCAAATATTTTAAAATTTTGCCTTTTAACATGTAGAGTATTTAGCAAGATATATATGAAATTATTTCCTAATAGGAAAGACCTTCAAAGCAATATCAAGATAGTGGGCAGAACTGTCAAATGTAGCTAAAATGACACTGGAGCACACTGCTATTGAAAGTCAATTAGATTTATGTCTCTAAGTTACCTAGGTACTTTCAGACAACTGGCCCAGTTTGGTAAGGTCAGAGATGCTATACTGATATGATACATGCTGTAAAGCCAGAGAGGTTTTAAGACAATTTATTCAGCTTTTTCTTTATTTTCATAATATAATATAAAGATCACACCATTGTGTACCTGATATGGTAACCCTTCCTTTGCACACTGCATGCTCTTTATGGTGAACAACTGAATTCCTGCTAAAAAAGAAAAACAACACAGAAATGTTAGGGAAAACGTATCTTTACTTCTAAAAAACAACCCTTTGAAAATCAGTAGTTTTTTTTCAAAGATAGGTTTAATATATGTTCAATTCAACTGCTTTCCTTTTAAAGATAACTTTGGCTACCTTTGGATTTAGACGTCCTCAGATAAAGTAGTTAGATTCTACATATTCTTGAAGGAGGATCCATTAACTTAGATAAGTTTTCAAGGTAATATTTTTGAAAGTAGAGATTCTCTCTCTGTTGCATTTAACAACTCCAGCAAAATCAAGCATACATACAGGGGGAGCCACTACAATTAACTTTCACACTTATGTTATTAGACATAAGGGATGAGTATTGCTTCTTCAACTAACAGAAGTCATTATGTTAAATTTTCAATATTTCAATTTATTTATGTCAACTGAGATCCTGTGAGAATTCCAGACAAAGAAAGTGAAAGAAAATGAAACCAATACAACCTCTAGAGAGAACAAATAGCATGTGCCACATCCACATGCAATCTCTCCTATCACTTGTCCAAGTTAAAATGGAATTAAAATTTCTAGCTAAGTGCAAAAGTGCTAATTGTACAAATTAGCCTTTATGATGGTAAATCTAAGTGTAAATAAAATTATCTCTTTAACTAGGTTACCCCCTGTTATGTAAGGTGCCTTAAGTGGGGTTCCCTGAGTGATGTACTGCCCACCAGGTGCGGAGCCCCTCCCCTCAATTCTCCCGCCACGACTTGATGTTATTATATAAAGAGAGGGTTCAGTGGAGATCTTCTTCATGGGGATCCCCAGATACGGCAGTACTCACGATTCGGGTGTGATGTTCTACGGGACTCCGCCTCCCCTACACCCTGTCCACTCGCCAACCGGATGGGCGCCAGCAATGGTGCCTCGGTTGTGCTCGTTTGACCATGGCTTGCTTCAAGGGGGATCCCACGTCCAGGTGGGCTCTGTTGGTACTTGTCCGGCTGCCCCTTCTGTCTCAATGAGTAGCCTTCCCTCCCTAGAGACTGGCCAGCTACATGTGCGTAAGCTGGTGCCTACTCCAATGCCTCTGAGTAGGGCACTTTGCTCTTACGACTCTTCTCTCTTTTTTTTCTCAAAAGAAATAAACTCCTGGGGAGGAGAGGGTGTGCTCCTTTCCCCCAACCTCCTACAAGGGGCTCCAACGCCTCCCCTGCTCCACCTGCTGGCATTGCACTGGCTGCACTGCTGCTTTCTGTAGCAGGAGTCTCAGTACGCCTGGCGTGCTCTCTGCCAGCGTGCTCCCTCTCCACCTGCTTTGCCCCCCGGGTTCTGGTAGGGCTTTTAAATCTTCCCGCGGTGGCCAGAACAGCCACCACGATTGGCTCAGCTGTTCCCCACCCAGGAAACAGCTGATTAAACAGCCGGCGTAATGCCGGCTCGCGCGGCCATGGCTCCGGTTCCTGCTCTGGCTCCAGCTGCCCAGCGGGAGGTAAGTTTCCCCTGCTGGGGGGCTGTTTGTGGGGTTTGGGGCCCACGGGGACTACCCTCTCCCCTTCGAGAGCTTGTGGGGGCATCTCGCTGCCACAGACCTCCCCCCTTAAGTTGCCTTGTTGCATCTGGACATCTTGTGGGGCTTCTTGCAAAGCCTGATGCTTCTCTTTATGAGTGTGGGGTGCTTCCTCCTCCAACTTGTCTGGGCTACCTCGTCTGGAGAGAAAATCAGCTACGAAAATACCTTTGCCTGGGCAGTGCATGATTGTAAACTTGAAGGGCTGCAATGCCAAGGCCCAGTGAGTGATCCAGGCATTTACACTTTGTTTCCCAGTTAGCCACTGTAGTGGGGTGTGATCTGTCACTACCACGGATTCTCGGTCCATCAGTTAATACTTAAAATACTCTATTGCCCAGTGTATTGCCAGACACTCCCTCTCGATGGTGGCATACCTGGTCTTGGTGCGGCTGAGCTTCTGACTGGCGAAGGTGATCGGGGGCTCTTCTTCCCCACATCTTTGAAGTAATACCACCCGTAGGGCACTGCCTGATGCATCCATCTGCAATATAAAAGGAGCATCAAAATTAGGGATGTGCACTATGACATCGTGATGTATCGCCTCCTTTAGTTCTATGAAGCTCTTTCACATCTCTGGTGTCCATTTCAGCAGCACTGCTGGCCCCCCTCCCAGCGCATCTGCGAGGGGTTCAGAGAGTCTTGCAAAATGTGGTATGAACTGCCAGTAATAATTAATGAGTCCCAAGAAGAAGCATAGCTGTTTATGGGTACATGGCTCCTGAAATCGTCGTATGGCTTCAATCTTGTCTGTCGGGGGTGTATTGTTCCTCTGCCTACTCGAAACCCTAGGTATGCCATTTCTCATCCTGCCAACTTGCATTTCTTGGGATTTGTGGTCAAACCTGCTGCTTGGAGTTCTCCCAGGACTGCCCTCAGGGCTTTAAGGTGTCAGTGCCAACTCGGAGTGAATATAATGATATCGTCAATATATGCTGCTGCATACGACGTGTGCGGTGCAAGCAGGTTGTCCATCAGCCTGTGGAAGGTGGCCGCCACACTGTTTAGCCCTAAGGGCATCTGAATAAACTCAAATAACCCCCAAGGGGTCCCAAAAGCAGTCTTGGAGCTATCCGCAGGGCGCATCGGGATTTGCCCTTTGGCAAGGTTGAGGATAGATATATACTGGGCTTTGCCTATCCTCTCAATGAGGTAGGTAATGTCCAGCATAGGGAAGGTGTTGAAGGTTGTCAAGGCAATTTAGCTTCCTAAAGTCTATACACAGACGTCAGGTTTGGCCACTGGCACAATGGGGGTACACCAAGGGCTCTGGGGTGGTCATATAATTCTTTGTCTTTGCATCCTCTTTATCTCCTGTTGTATTTCCTGCTGCCAACGCTGGGGTATCAGCCTTCACCTTTCCCCAACCAGCACACCAGGGGGAGTTCTAATCTCATGTTCAATTCCAGTCATTCATCCCGGCGTTTCTTGGAATACTGCCCAGAAGGCCTCTATTAAGTCCAACAACTCCTGTTGTTGCCGGCTATCCAGCTCTTCGCCTATTTGCACTGACTCTTCCCCTGTGAATTCACTCAACACAGGACAGGACAGTCCCAGGTCTTTGCCCACCTGCTCTTCTTGCGCCGGCCGGCCCTGTGGAGTTTTCCACTCCTTAAGGAGGTTCACATGATAAATTTGGTGTTCCTGGCAGTGGCCCGGCTTCAGCAATTCATAATCCACTGGCCCCACTTGATGAACTACTCTAAACAGGTCTTGCCACATTGTGAGATGCTTGCTTGAGGTCGCCAGGAGCAACACCAAAACCATATCTCCTGGGTGGAAGGTCTGGGTTCTTGTCTTCTTATTATAGTGGGCTTCTTGTTGCTCTTCGGCAGCCCTCAAATTTTGGCTGGCAATCTGTTGGGCCTAGTTGATCCAGTCCTACAACTCTTGGCAGTATCTTTCCGTGGATATTCCTAACCCTACCGGTCATTCCCATTCTTCTCTGATGACCTGTAACAGCCCCTGAGGGTTGTGGCCGTATACTAACTAGAATGGTGAATACTGCATCGATTCCTGGGGGGCATCCCTCATGGTGAACAGCAATGGCGTTAAGATGGTATCCCACCTCTGGGGGTCTTCCTGCGAGCACCACCTGAGCAACCGCTTGGTCATCCCATTTAACTGTTCCACTAGACTGTTCGTCTGAGGATGGTACACCGACGTCCTCAACTGGGTGATGCTGAGGGTTTTACACAGGGCTTTCATCATGCCAGACATGAAATTCGTCCCCTGGTCAGTGAGTATTTCACACAGTATGCCGACCTGCGCTATCCATTTAAGTATCCATTCTTCTGCTGCTTGTGTTGCTGTAATGGACCTAAGTGGTAGTGCCTCCAGGAACCAGGTGGCATAAGCCACTAAAACCAATATATATTGATAACCATTGTGCGACTTGGGGAGGGGGCCCACTATGTCTAGTGCAATTCTGGAGAATGGCATGGGGTGCAACGGTGCCCTATGTGGCTTCCATTCCTGAGCCCTTTGGCACTCTGGGCAAGTGGTCCCCCATCTTTCCACGATGTCTTGTAGACATGACCAAAAGAATTCTTGGACCAGCCTTGCCCGGGGTCTTGGTGTATCCTAAATGGCCTCCCACTGGGGGGTCAGGAGCCAATCTCCAAATGGAGTGGCGGAGTGAGGACAGGACCACTAACTGTCTCCCTTTTGAGGTGCCCTCCTCGCCCTGTTGGACCCAATATAATACCTCCCGATTAACTCAGGATGACTTTGCAATGTTCCTTCCCCAGGGTCTTCGGTCCCTAGCCACTGGAGTTCCAGGTCTTCTTGTTGGACCTGACAGAACTGTGCTGCGTTAACCACCTGTTCCAGGTTAATACTGCCTGCCACTTCTCTCAGGTGAGGTGGGCTTTCGCCAGCTAAGCCTTCTCCCCTTCAGAGCCACTTTCACTCTTCCTCCATAGCTCGTATCTGTTTGAGCATTATGTAGAACAGTCCCCATTCTCTTCCAAGGATCATTTCACAGGCTAAGGCAGGTGCCAGTCCAACCCGCAGTTGGCCACAGAACTCCATCACCCTAAAAGGCACATAACAACTCAGAAAATGTATCTCACCACTGTTAAAGTGAATTTAGTCAGGCTTTGGCCTCTCTGACTAGAAAAAAACAGACAGAGACCAGAAGTGCTAATACTGCTTATTTCAGTTACATGTTTTCAGATAAAAAAAAAAAATTCCTGCATTATTACTCTGGGCACAGATGTCCAATTAAGTAAGTTTATTTCAGTTTCTTCAAGGTCATATTTTTTTCTCTTTATCTG